GAAACGAGAGGGAGGAGGAAAAAGGGCGAATCGCGCGCGATGCGTCAATGTGGCGTCTAAAATATTCATCCGGGCGCGCACCGGTGCGCACCGAGCACTCTCTCCCTGCGCCATATTTATCCCGCCTAAAAGTTTCATGACCCCCCCATGGTTCCATCTCTTCCTTCAAAAGACAGAGACACGTTGCGCGTTAAAAGATACGTAGGGAGAAGTGGAGATTATGAATTCCGCGATGGATACCGAGATCGCAGCGTCAAAATTTTCGCATTTTCAAAGACATCATTAGCTTCGACATCGAAAGAAATTTATAAGAATAATACCTTTTGGACGTCCGTCCATGCGAACATCTGCGTCTTTAATTCTGACTCGCAATTTTTTTTTCTCGCTGGTGAAAATCCCACAGCTGAGCAAGGAAAACGCGCTCGCGATTCGCACTGATGACGTCACGCGAACGAGTGATCGATCGCCGCGCGCTCGGTCGGTGAATTGTCGGCGGTCTCGGGAAGCTTCGGGCGCGCGCCGCTCGCGTCGCGCGGCGCGACCGTCGCAATATGGCCACGTGCTGAACGTGCGGTCGGTGTTTACGCGACGCGGCAAGGCGCCCGATTTACGGCCGTGTCCCGTGTAATCGCGACCCGTCGCGCCGATTCGGCGGCGGTCGTGCACGCGACGGGTGATTAACGCGGCGTGCCAGGAGTCGCGGGCGAATGACGCGATGAGTCGAGTAGTGGACGAGTGACTGACGTGTCGGACGGAGCACGATTGATAGGAGGTATGGCGGGCGCGGACGAGGCCCAGGAGGTCGTCAGGTGCGCCTACGGCTGTCAGGACACCACCTGCAACGCCAGCAACGTCAGCGGCGACGGGGCCGCCGGTCGCTCCGTACGAAGCTACCGGCCACATGGCAGCCTTGCCAGGGTGCTCTACGACAAGCGAAAAGCGGACGAGTGGCTGGCGGCGTACGACAAGCGCAAGGTCAGTGCACGATGCTCGATTACTTGTCATTACTTGTCATCTCCGTTTTCCTCGCGGATACCGGAGGCACGGGAAAATTCCTCTTTTCCCTTTTCCCCGTTTGTCGAGGAAAAGACGCGATTTGCGTGTTGTCGTCGTGTCGCGCAACACAATGCTGCGTAAACAGATTCCGTTGTGACCTTTGTCTCGAGATGAGCGTGCGCCTTCGTCCCGCGCTCCGCTCTGACAACCTCTCGCTATGTTTACCGCGTCTCACCGCGCGCCATGCGTCTCTTTCTCATATATATGTCGCCGCCTGGGGGGATCACCCCTCAGTAGTCTCTGTACTGTACAGCTACCAGATGAATTATGAGACTTTCTAATATCTAAATGTCTGAGGAAAAAAAATAAAATTAAAAACAATGAAAATGCATATGGAAGTGATGTGACCTGATTTTTCGTGAAATGATAAAAAATATAGAAGGAAGTAGCTTACGTTAAACATAAATTAATAAATCTTTGGAACTTATTATATTTTGTGATATAATTAATTATTGATATTGAACTTAATCGTATAAAATTAAAGTTTTATATTTTTATATTTGATTTTAAATAGAATAATTTTGAATAAAATATTTTCTTTACTTCAAAACATCATTGTTGGCTTGCTTTACGAGCACATATTTGATCGAATATGACTGGAACTTGTTAAGAAAATCTTGCTTGGATCAATCTCGAATTATAAACAAGGAGCTTGCATTTCAAGGATTATTAATTAATGTTACGACAAATCATACATTTTATTCGTAGATATTTCTTTTTATTCTTCGTAATTACGTGACAGCGTAGAATTTAACGCGCAATTATATCGGTGCTTCGTCTTGCACTCACATGCCTAAGTTCTCTGTCGATTACCCCTAATTTATGCGGCCGTAAATTAATTACGATTTCCCAGAAACCTCCCACCGTCAATTTTACGACGGCCCGCGGGCATCTCCCGGGCGCTAACAAAGATTTTTTTTTTTTCCAAGAAACGAGGTTCTGAAATCTCCGCGAGCCCTGGACTCTCGCGCGCGGGCCACCGGGGGTAATTGGGTGGCCGGGGGGAGGAAACCGGCGGTGCATGGGGGTACGGGCACCGGCGAAGGGGAAGGGCAGTAATAATTAGTACAATTACCGCACAAGGCCAACCACTGACTACCCCCCCACTCGGATAACCGTCGAGACGTAGAGCTGCTCAAGAGTCAAGACCGCGCTCGGTAATTACGGGATAATTACGTCCTCGATATTCTTGAAACATCCTCGGGGCGCTTCAGGCACCGTCCACGTATCGGGTCCTCTCCGCGCTTTCCTATCCTATTTATAATTACGGTGACGAGAGAAGTTCACGTCGATTTAACTCGCGGCGATCACGATCGTGGTCTCCGTGACGTATGAAGCGAAAAACGCGTAAATCTCGAATCTGGGATATGGCTGTAATAGAAGGAATGAACATGGGAAACTGTTTTGCCGACTTTTCAAACGTTACTGAAAGCCATAAGTGTACCCAGGATTTTTTTCGGATGGGGTTATCAATTCTATTAATACCTAAATAGCAACTTTTTGCGTTAATGAATTGCTTTTTTGAATATTTTAGAGCTTAAAATATCTCCTTGTTTCTGATTTGAATGAAAAAGATATTTTAAGAAGGTTTAAATAAATTATAATTTTCATTTTAACTTTAATTTCTCTTTTAAATTTCAAAAGAGGGAGTTGTAGCCAATCTTTCCCTCCCTAATTCCTGCATATGTCCATGCTGAAAGCTATAATCAACACACCTTGGAGTAAGATATTAGTCATAAAATATTTTGCATGTTTTCTAATATTAAATATTAAAAGTGATATCTTAAATGTTTTATTTTAAGATGAATAATGAAAACTTGTTTTATTCATTTTTATAACACAGTGTAAGGATTAAAAATTAGACATATCTGTAGACTATCAGAAAATGCGTTCTACTGTCTTTATTTATGGAAATTAAATAATAAATAATTATTACAATTATATATATATATATTGACAGAAAATGTAAACTTATTCGTTTATTAAAAATTTTCAATGTCAAATACACTTACATGTGAGCGCACAATTTATCTATTTTTCACAATCGTTATCTAATCGACTCGATTGCTTGAACACTTATAACTTGTTTGACATTGGTATTGCATTGGTAACATTCTTCACTATAATAAGTAAAATTATAAATGTAATTTTATTTAATGGATTTTAAAGTTTTCACATGTAATTAAAATAATCTACAATAATCTATAATAATACTAAAATTTAAAAATATTTTTAATCATTTAGAATGAGTTAATAAAAATAAAAATTTATAAAAATTTATTATAAATTTATATTATAAAATATTTTTATTTATATCCAGACGGTGTATAACATAGTGCAGTAAACTGTCATGCAAACACAGAATTCCTGCGAGTAATTTGCATAAATATCATTAATATTATCTGTTAATATGTCATTATCGATGCGTGGAAAAAAACATTTGCTATCGTTTTGATAATATTTTTTTATTTTTCTCAAGTTAACGATATTTAGCTTTAAGACTGATGACCTCGTTTTTAAACCTATATAGCATTTATATCTTTTCATGTTGTATTTCTTTCGTAGTGAATCATTTTGATTCAATATCGTATATAATTTTTAATATTTCAAAAATCTTTTTCTATATTCTTTATATTACAAATTATAGTACAAATTTTTAAATTTTTTCGAAATCTTTTCTTGCATCTTTTCTCATCAAATCCTTTTAAAATTTTTCAGGAAGCACGAAATATTAGAAAAGCTGCGAAACGATTAAATGCATATACAATCTCGAAATCTATTAAAAAAAACGTAATAAACGTAATAAAATGCGCAGAATAGACTGAAATTTGAATATTAGCTTTTCGGAGTAAAAATCGATAAATCTACTTTCGAGAGAAGCTATCGAAAAATCTTATCTCGGAGCGCTAATTTCAAGTTTCGCTCTTTGACAGTAATTCTTGAAAATTTTCTTATCCACGAGGAATTTCTCTCTTCAAGAGCCACTCTTAAATTCTGCCTTCTCTACGAAACCGTCCGCAATCTCACTCCGCGAGAGTGACTCTCGAGTTACATATGAAGTTACGGTCGAAATTACATTTTTAGATCAAGCTCATCTTCCGCTCGGAGTCGGACAATCCGGTCGCGTCTCTCATCCGTCAAGAAGAGCGAGAAAAAAAAAGGAGCGGGTATAAGAAAACAAGAGGAGCTTTTATCTTTGCGAGCATCCGTCCTCCCGCACTCTTCTCTCCCCCCGGCCCCATTTCCCGCTACCTCGCGAGACGCAGAGCGAATCGATCTCGATTCCGACGACTGCGACGCGTACTCGGGCAGGTGCTCACGGTAGAAGGGAAGAATCCCATTCGGTCGCGTGAAACGAGAAATTTGAATTTCGAGCGGTGGCAGGGGATGGAAGGGCAACGCAGGGCAGGGAAGGGAAAGAGGGTGAGTTGCCCCGCGAGGTTTCCCCCCTCCCCCTTCCCATCCCCACGAAATCGACGCGAGACATCACTTCGCGTCCCCGTTCGCCATCGTCGTCGACGTCGTTCGGGAAATGTCGTGCTCTAATATCCTCCAGCAAAGTCTAAAAACTTTGCTCCCAACCCGGACGTAGCGGTGTTGATGCGGCGGCCCCGCTTCGATGTTTTAAGCTTTTAAAAAGGGCTCACGACAACGTCCGCGCATCACGGTGGATTAGGGACGAGAGAGAGAGAGGCGAGGGAGAAAGAGGGAGAGAAGGTTGCGCGGGGCGCTGCTTTGAAATATTAAGTGACTGATGGATGAGGCTTCTGAGGGGAGGAAAGAGGCGAGGGACCAGGGAGAAAGACGCACACGAGACAAGTATATCTCGTCGTCGTTGCTGTTCTCGTTTACCCCTCGTCCGTTGTATCTACCCTTCCATCCTGCACCCGACCCTTGTTTCGTCCCTTTCTTTTTCTCGCGCCCTTCCAAGCGTGCGTTCTATTTCCTAGGAATCTTAAGTATGTCGTACATGATCATCGCGATCAATGTTTCTGAATTGTCAATGCGCGGATGCGTAATTTCGCGGAGTAACATCCCTTCGTGCAATTCGCAGCATTTGTATACGATATTCAATAAGGATGAAAAGGAAAAAGAATCAAATTTTCAAATGAAAAAAAATAATAATAACGAAACCGATTAATGTTTATCACGTTATAAGATTATTTAATATTATTATTTTAATATTATTTATTTTATTCATGATCTGCATAAAAAAATGACTTCAGAATGATGTCTCGTATTTGTAACGTCGTTATTTTTATTACCTCCTATTCCGTAGTAAGGTCTGTCTTTTGGTAGAGCAATCGATTTTCTCGACATCATAATTTTTTATCAATCAATTGCCATTGCAGCGTCGAATTACTGACATCAGTAATCCGAAACACTTGTTATCAAATCAAAAGCCGCATAACCTCGGGCGAATTTATGGCACACGTGTTACGCTACACTTGCGTCGACGCTCGAACGCGCTAGAAGAAGACTCGGGCGCTTCGCGAAAGTATTCACATGGAAACACGAAACGATCTGTTACGATATGATTACAATTTGCGTAACATTTTATAAACTCGGCCGATGCTCACGTCGTCGTCGTCGTCGTCGTCGTATCCTATCGTACGCTATCGATCTCGCGGTAAATACCGACGTTAAAGCGAGCCTATCGACGCGCGATCGTTTACGCACCGCACGCATGATCGCCGCTAAACGGCGACGCAAATAACACCTCGACGTCCTCCGTCCCTATGATATTCATTACGCGGCTTATTCGCGGGACATCAAAAAAAAAAAAAAAAAAAAGAAAAAGAAAGAAAGAAAAAGAAGAGAAAACCACCGCGCGACAAGATGCGCTATCGTGACGGGTTAGAGAGACGTGGCATGATTGTTTGGGGAACCGAGAAGTGGAGGATGATACACCTCGCGCGCGTTTATGACCGGGAGTCTCTTTCTCTCTCGTGTGACGCTCCATCCTTCTTGTCCGCCCGCCCGTCTTGGCCCGACTTGGTCATCGTGAAGGAGGATCTCGACGGAGGATCCGCGATAAGTCCGGATGGCCGGCGGATCTCCACTTATCGTGCCGCATAATCGCACGTGGCTCACGCGAGACCGCGCCCGCGGACCGGTTACATCAGAAAACTGATTTCTGCGGATGCGCGTACGCTCGACTTCCCGACATTGCGAGGATGCGACCTAATGAGAAGTCCTCAAGTTCCACGTAGAAGTAATCGAGTTCTAGTTAGTTCGGGAAGAGACGATGCGGAAGAGTTTTTCTTCCCCCCCTTTTTTTTTTAATTGGCACTTATTAATATTCAACGAACTGATTTCTGCGGACGTGCATGTTTGACTTCTTAACATTGCGAGGATGAAACCTAATTAAAAGTCCTCGGTAATCGAGTTCTGTCAGAAGAGTTTTTTCTTCTTCCTTTTTTTTTTTTTAAATTGGCAATGGCGTTTGTTAATATTCAACTCACGAGTGCGAGCTGTTCAGTCACTTCACGCCACAGTCACGAGCACTTTTGCCGCGAGTAACGTTAGAGATTCCTGGCAAACAGGACTTTGACTGACAAATGAGATCGCACGTACGAAAGAAGTAGTACCGGTTCCCTGGGTGGAAATGATATCTCTGTAGCGAAGCAACGCGCCCGGAAGATACGCTTTATGCGTCGCCGAAATTTCGCGCGAAGCTGAAATCCGGATTTTAAGACGCTGACTTTAAAAATAGCGGCGAACGGGTCTTTACGAGACTGACGGAGATGAGAGAGATCTTGTTAGTCCCATTTTCTCGGATTTTTTTTTATTTCGCCTTATCTTTTATTCTTACGAGAGCAATTTTTCATAGATGTGACTGTTGAAACAGCGTAGTGGATAAAAAATTGGATGAAAAATACACAGAAGATGTGCGAATCTATTTAATATATTCGACAGAAAAATTGGCCCGAATAATAATTTAGAGATATCTTTGCATAAACATAGCAGTCGCTTTCATCGGTATTTATGAATATAGAAAACTACTACCTTAAATTTTTTGTAAAATTAAGAGATTAAGAGAAACATATTTGCGTTATTATTTACCGCGATCATTGTCGCTCTAAAGGTGTTTACCAGATCCGCATTAACGTTTCTCTTCAGCACAAACGAACTGATATTCTAGGCGCGGCTGGCTTCGTTAGCCAATTGTCGATCTCGATGAAAACTCCTCACGGTTAGTTACACCGCCGTTGCTTTCTCAATCAAGACACTCGAGCAACGCTCCCTTCGTGTGATTTTTGCGAAAGGGGTACGACTTGCTTCGCGCTTTTGCCGCTTCTTTAGTTTTCCGCCGACTGCTTTTCGTCGAAGCACTCTCGTAGACTTTACCTCGGGCGTCCAATGAAATTTCGCAAATCGACCTCTTGATGTAGAAATCCTCACGTTATCTTTCAGTGCCCTTCTAAAGCTCTAATGAATTCTTTTATTCATTAGATTATAAAAAAAAAATGAAGATGAAATTTTTTTTTATCATATATAATCAGGAATTAATGTTGTGTTACAAAATAACATTTAATATGCATTTTGTTAATGCTTTTCCAAATCATTTTCATTCGAAATAATTCAATGCTGCGCAATGCTTTCTAATGTACGAGCATTCAGCGACCTTTCGTTTCGAACATAAATTCTAATTCCGCTTCCCGAGCGATCGAACTTCCTTTGTGCACGAAATCTCGTCGCGTGCCCTCGTCACGGAGAGAAGGAAAGCTTTTTCACCGGAGAAAAAAAATCTGGAGGATGGAGCTCTCTCACTCCTCTCCCACGAAGAGGACGGCGCCGACATAACGCCTGTCGGACTCCGACGCTGCCCTGGCAGCAATAATATAATGGCGCGGGAAGAGAATGTGCGTTTGACTCGCGATCCAACACGCCTCAGGAATCCGAGAAGCCCCGCGTAACCGAGCGGCCAAACATCCCCAGTATTCCATGCGGAAAGCATAAACCGCCCGACGACGTTGTTTATCGTTCGCAGTTCGCGCCGGGTTTACGCGTGCTTCGCTCAATTTTCTCTCGGACAAGAGAGAGAGAGAGAGAGAGAGAGAGAGAGAGAGAGAGAGAGAGAGAGAGAGTAGAGGAAGAAAG